CTTGGCGGACTGATCCCCGGCTGCAGAAGCTGGCTCTAGGGACGTGGAACGTCACCTCTCTGGCGGGGAAGGAGCCTGAGCTGGTGTGCGAGGCGGAGAGATTCCGGCTGGACATAGTCGGTCTCGCCTCGACACACAGCTCTGGCTCTGGAACCAGCCTTCTCGAGAGGGGTTGGACGCTCTGCTACTCTGGAGTTGCCCCCGGTGAGGGGCGCCGAGCAGGAGTGGGCATACTCATTGCCCCCCATCTCTGTGCCTGTACGTTGGGGTTTACCCCGGTGAGCGAGAGGGTAGCATCCCTTCGCCTTTGGGTGGGGGGACGGGTCCTGACTGTCGTTTGTGCCTATGCGCCGAACAGCAGTACAGAGTACTCACCCTTTTTGGAGTCCTTAGAGGGGGTACTGGAGGGTGCCCCCCCTGGGGACTCCCTCGTTTTGCTGGGGGACTTCAACGCTCACGTGGGCAACGACAGTGAGACCTGGAGGGGCGTGGTTGGGAGGAATGGCCCCCCCAGCTTGAACCCGAGCGGTGTTTTTGGACTTCTGTGCTCGGCACGGATTGTCCATAATGAACACCATGTTCAGGCATAAGAGTGTCCATATGTGCACCTGGCACCAGGACACTCTAGGTGCCAGGTTCAATGATCGACTTTGTTGTCGTTTCAGCTGATCTGCGGCCGCATGTTCTGGACACTCGGGTCAAGAGGGGGGCGGAGCTTTCCACTGACCACTACCTGGTGGTGAGTTGGCTCCGATGGTGGGGGAGGATGCCGGTGAGACCCGGGAGGCCCAAACGTGTTGTAAGGGTCTGCTGGGAGCGCCTGGCGGAGTCCCCTGTTAGGCGGAGCTTTAACTCCCACCTCCGGGAGAGCTTCAAGCGCGTTCCGAGGGAGGCGGGGGACATTGAGTCCGAATGGGCCGTGTTCCGTGCCTCCATCGATGACGCGGCCTCTCGAAGCTGCGGTCGCAGGGCTGTCGGTGCCTGTCGTGGCGGCAACCCTCGAACCCGCTGGTGGACACCGGCGGTGAGGGATGCTGTCAGGCTGAAGAAGGAGTCCTATCGGGCCTTTTTGGCCTGTGGGACTCCGGAGGCAGCCGATGGGTATCGGCAGTCCAAGCGACATGCGGCTCGGGTGGTCGCCGAGGCAAAAACTCGGGCGTGGGAGGAGTTTGGGGAGGCCATGGAAAAAGACTTCCGTATGGCCTCGAGGCGATTCTGGTCCACCATCCGGCGTCTCAGGGGGGGGAAGCAGTGCCCCACCAACACTGTTTACAGTGGGGATGGGGTGCTGTTGACCTCAACTCGTGACGTTGTGGGTCGGTGGGCGGAGTACTTCGAGGACCTCCTCAATCCCACTGGCGTTTCCTCCATTGGAGGGGCAGAGCCTGGGGATCCGGAGTTAGGATCTCTAATCTCCGGGGCTGAAGTCACCGAGGTAGTCAAAAAGCTCCGCGTGGCAAGGCTCCGGGGGTGGATGAGATCCGCCCGGAGTTCCTTAAGGCTTTGGATGTTGTGGGGCTGTGTTGGCTAACGCGACTGAGCAACATCGCGTGGACATCAGGGGCAGTCCCGCTGGATTGGTAGACTGGGGTGGTGGTCCCCCTATTTAAAAAGGGGGACCGAAGGGTGTGTTCCAACTACAGGGGGATCACACTCTTAAGCCTCCCTGGGAAGGTCTATTCAGCGGTTCTGGAGAGGAGGGTCCATCGGATAGTCGAGTCTCGGATCGAGGAGGAACAGTGTGGTTTTCGTCCTGGCCGTGGAACGCTGGACCAGCTCTATACCCTAGGCGGGGTCCTGGAGGGTGCATGGGAGTTCGCCCAACCAGTCCACATGTGTTTTGTGGACTTGGAGAAGGCGTTCGACCGTGTCCCTCGGGGTATCCTGTGGGGGGTGCTCCGGGAGTATGGGGTACCTGGCCCTTTGTTACGGGCTGTTCGGTCCCTGTACGACCGGAGTCAGAGTCTGGTTCGCATTGCCGGTAGTAAGTCGGATCCGTTTCCGGTGGGAGTTGGACTCCGCCAAGGTTGCCCTATGTCTCCGGTCCTGTTCATAACTTTTATGGACAGGATTTCTAGGCGCAGCCGAGGTGTTGAGGGTGTCAGTCTTGGTGGCCTTAGGATCGCGTCTCTGCTTTTTGCAGATGATGTGGTCCTGTTGGCTCCATCAAGTCGGGACCTACAGCTCTCACTGGAGCGGTTCGCAGCCGAGTGCGAAGCGGCTGGGATGAGGATCAGTGCCTCCAAGTCCGAGACCATGGTCTCTCACCGGAAAAGGGTAGAGTGCCTTCTCCGGGTCGGAGCGGACGTCCTTCCCCAAGTGGAGGAGTTCAAGTATCTCGGGGTCTTGTTCGCGAACGGGGGTAGGGAGCGTGAGATTGATAGGCGGATCGGTGCGGCGTCTGCAGTAATGCGGGCGCTGTACCGGTCTGTCGTGATGAAGAGAGAGCTGAGCCTAAAGGCGAAGCTCTCAATTTATCGGTCGATCTACGTTCCCACCCTCGTCTATGGTCACGAACTTTGGGTAGTGACTGAAAGAACGAGATCGCGGATACAAGCGGCCGAAATTAGTTTCCTCCGCAGGGTGGCTGGGCTCTCCCTTAGAGATAGGGTGAGAAGCTCGGCCATCCGGGAGGGGCTCGGAGTAGAGCCGCTGCTCCTCCACGTGGAGAGGAGCCAGCTGAGGTGGCTCGGGCATCTGTTTAGGATGCCTCCTGGTCGCCTCCCTGGGGAGGTGTTCCGGGCTCGTCCCACCGGAAGAAGGCCCAGAGGAAGACCCAGGACCCGCTGGAGGGACTATGTGTCCCGGCTGGCCTGGGAACGCCTCGGGATCCCCCCGGAGGAGCTGGCTGAAGTGGCCGGGGAGAGGGAAGTCTGGGTTTCCCTGCTCCGGCTGCTGC